GGTGAGCAGGCCCCCAATCCCAGTTACTCCCCAATCCCAGTTACTCCCGGTGAGCAGGCCCCCAGTCCCAGTTACTCCCGGTGAGCAGGCCCCCAATCCCAGTTACTCCCGGTGAGCAGGCCCCCAATCCCAGTTACTCCCCAATCCCAGTTACTCCCGGTGAGCAGGCCCCCAGTCCCAGTTACTCCCGGTGAGCAGGCCCCCAGTCCCAGTTACTCCCGGTGAGCAGGCCCCCAATCCCAGTTACTCCTGGTGAGCAGCTTTGCCTTAAATCCCTTCTAGGATGATGGAACTCCTTCCCCTCTTTTCCCTCTGTCCTGTTGGGCTGATCTTCCAGCATACAGCCTCGGAGTGCCGCGGTAACATCTGCACTGGACCGGCACGGAGCAGATCAGTTCTCATCACCCAGCAGTCATCATCTGGAGAAAGCGTTTCCCTACTGATGCCAGATATGAAAACTTTCTGATAGCATCCAACACAGAGATGCAGTGTCCTTTGGCCATTCATCTACAGAATGATGCTGATGGTGACTTTAAATAAGGCCTGAAGCACAATGACACTTTCTACCGACAATAGATCACCTAATATGATTGAAAATATATCAAAATATTTTCTACTTGTTAAAATCTAATTTAAATCAATGATAGTGGTGCAACAGTTCACAAAACTCCTGGTTTGGATTATATCTCGGTCTGGAGTCACAGATCAGCTGGAGAAAAAGAAAACAACAACTATAACTTTAATCTCCATTTGTTTAGTTGAGCACTTCTTTAAACTGAGGAGGTTAATTCAGATCTTATAGGAAATGATCAAATGAACTGTATAAAAATAAAGTGCAATAAAATGCATGAAACCTCCTTCTAATCCCTTTAAACAGGTCATTCTATATGTAGCTTTCTGTTGTTCTGGTTGTCTGCCCGTCTGTGGAGAAAGCAACAGAAGGAACATGTGACCTTTCAGAAACACGTTTGTTTTTTTACCTGCTTCTAAAGCTGAGGCACCATTTCTTTTTTTTTTTTTTTTAACTAAAGTGGATGCTCGACAGATTAAACTATGGCTCAACTACATGTAGCATAAGTTTAAAGGAAATGTTCAGTCAGTGAGGAATAATCAATGGATCATTTATAATTAAAACTAATACATTTGCAGTGATTTTATGAATTTCACATTAATCAGTTAAAAAAATTTAAACAATTTTGTTGTTGCCATCACCGCTGCCATTTTTGCCCAAACATAATAACCCCTCCCTCCTGCCATGTTCCAGCAGTGACGTCACGGTGCGGTAAGCCTAGCGCCATTCTCCCCGCTTTCCAAGCTAAATCAATGGGAACTACT